TTGTATTTCACTAAATAGAAATGGTTCAAGGAATCTAAGAGCCATTTACTTTCCTAGTACAGCCCTAGATCCTTTACATTCCATTAAATGTTGCCTTGTTAGCTGCATCAATGGAGGATGTTATCAGCCTATGAATTTAGGATGAGAACTTTACAGCATCCCATTTTCAGTCTGATTGCAACCCATATCTATTTAGTGAAATACAATTTGTTAAAAATGAGGATGATTTCTTTCAATTAAGACCTGCATTTTCAATCTTCCTGTTTTTCATGTTATACTTTTGCACGTTCAAACTAATTGTGACTTTTATTACACATTATTTAAGTTTGGCTTCAGTACATCAATTTAACCCTTACAGAAACTCTTTCCCTGTTCACCTTTGTTGAGGAGAAGCAACACTGAAATGCAGACAGGTATAAAAAGAAGGGAGAATGCATAAAAATACAAGGCGGCAGATTTGAAAGAATGGGACAAATGTATTGCAGCATATTGAAAAAGTAGGACCATACCATGGACAGAGAGCAACTGGGACGCCAGGACCTCTGTGCTGAAAAAGAGCCAGAAGGCAAGAAGTAGGCACAGCAAAAGAGCTACAAGGCACCGAAAACAGAAAAGGAAAGGAGGAATGGAACAACCAGGCAAGGGAAATTATAACAAAGAGCATTTGATGGGAAGAGTAGGCAGAGAAGGATTTGGGGAGATAAATAAATGAAGCAAAAAAGAAGCAAGCAAAGGGGAGGGAAAGAGAAAGGTCAATTTAGTAATTAACATTCCACTGTGAATTATCCAAAACATATCATTTCAAACTGGTATACAGCTAGGACATATGGACAATTACCTAAAACAGCACAGGTTCTAGAAACTTGATTATTGACTATTTAGAACAGATCCTAATGTGCAACAGTGTACACATTTCATAGTGTTTATATTCATTTGTTATAGAATCTATAAATTGCAATAAATTCTAATAAATTATATGAAAAGAAATATCCTAAGCATATGCCCAATCTCAGATGAAAGTCATAGCTTGGCAGGGTAAGGTAGCATGTGAGATGCTAGCACTCAGCTGCTGATGCCTATCCTCAATACCCTTTACTGTCTTATTCTTTTGTCATCCCAAAATGGTAAGGCTGGCTCCAAACATCTGCATCCAAAATGCCTTAAGAATTTTTCCCTCAAGTCAAATGGGAGTCCAATTAGTTTTCAAAGCATATGACTAGGAAGAGGGAACATACCCTTCAATATCCACAAGGTCTTCCTCACTGCGGTAGCTTAGCACATAGAGTGTAGACATGGACACCACACTACGAAAGAGAAAACATCAAATAAAGTTTCTAAAAATAGGGTTTCTGTGTTCCAGACAGAATAGGAGCTCTACCTAACAGGCCATATTTGTTTGTTACTTATATTCATGAATGTAAGTGACTTTGATTGAAAAAGAGTTCCACTTCACAAGTTTATTCCTATTCTCTCCTATCTCTTTTCCAATATCTACAAAGCATCAACTGACTATAACTGCCATTACTATAGTGTAGCTCTTAAAATAGTTTTTACATCGCCAGGACAAAGAACACAAAGAAAAGTCCCAAATAGGGATGCACATTTCCATCTAATTCTCACTGATGAAAGCACCGGGGGGAAAGATGGCAACGATTTCGGAGAAAATAAACTAATATAAATAAAACATGTCTGTTTATCTACTTATATCTATTCACTCACTGGCTGACAGGCTCTTACACACATTCTGAGTGCTGTACTAACCCAGGGAGTGCGTAGTAGCCCAAATGTGCAGTCACTCACCTGAATGCCATGATGATCACCAAAGCAATAATGGTACCTTGCAGAAAACGTTGGCTGATGCAAGCTTGGTCTTTGACACCTTGTGTGGGAGCCTGCAAAATAAAGGCAAAGGGAAAAATTATGTCAAATATTTGCTTGACAAATTTAGTTTTGAGTCCTATAGGTTGCTTGTCATCTTAATAGCAAACTGTACTTTCTATGGAATCTTTGGAACCCTCTAAACCTTCCCAAGGAAAAATAAATATTTACAAATCAATTAATGGAAAAAATTGCATAGTCTTAAGAAATGGCTGAGCTACATGGAAGGCCATTTTAAAGCAGAAGTTACAAATCACTAAAACAGAAAGCTGTTGGACGAAACGAATTTGAGCACTATCTCATAAAAGAACTTTGCATCAAAGAGTGTATCACACATAATATAATTCTTAGCCACAACAATTATGAATTTATATTCATAGCTGATGAATATAATTTACAATATGAATCCATATTATTTATAAATGACAGAGGATAGCATATTAACATTTGCAGAACAGGCTGGCATTTACTCAACAGTGTAATGTACATGCTGAACAAACATGGCATTGCTCAGAACTCAAACAAATCTTTTGCTTCCATATCTTCAAGTATCACAGAATTTTGTACAGTAGGAGAATCAGAGAATCAGCTCCCACATCTCCTACCAAAGACCAGAAATTTCCAATGATACCTCCTATTAATGCAGAAAATCACACAAATTACATATTTTTGTAAAACTTTACCTTGCCTGCCACTTTTGGGGGCCTCTTTTTATGCGGTATGCTTTCTGCACGGCTGAACTGACTCCCAGCTTGGCTGTATTAAAAAACAAAGTTATACTGCATCCAAATGGGCATTTTTTTTCTTTTATTGCATTTTTGCCCTGCTCATTCTTCCATTTTTAACAGTTGTTCAACTTTATCCAAAACAGAAAGAAGACTTAGGGGAATTACTTAACAGAATGTATTCTCAACTGCAACAAAATATTTAGGGTAGAGAATGAATGAGGTGGGAGGAGTGGAAAGCCACCAAATGAAATGAGAACCATACATTTTCTTGCACAAGGAACCATTAAAAGTATGAACATGTCTTCAAATTTGTTGCATTTATCTGATTGTACCATCCCTCTTTGAAAATGTACTACTGTAGGCCTTTTCAAGAATGGGCTTAAAATATCAATTTAAATTCATATTTATCTTGGGAGAGTTCAGAAATACACCCTTATAGACTCCCTTCTGTAGAGAAGAGGTGTGTTTTCTTCTTCATGCCCCTACTGTAACCATCACTGTTCGATATGGATACTCATATTGTCTAGAGACTTGAATGGTGCAATATTTTCATCTTCTTATTAAGGATTAGAGAAATATCATGATGTTGCTCTTAATTATGGTAGAAGAAAAGAAAAAAAAGTTCTTTCCTCTCTCTTGGAAAGGGAATTAAATCTTCAGCTTGGAAAAACACCTGAACCTATTCCAAAACTCTATGAGCTTCTCTATTAGTTCAAATCTTAATATACTTACAAGTGCCACTT